TTGGTCTGAACTAGGGAACTAATTATAACGCAGGTCTGAAACAGGGTTTTGATTTAATGGTCAGGTCATAAATAGGGTTTCGATTTTTTGGTCAGGTCATAAATAGGCTAGGGAATATCGCAGATTTTGGTCATAAAAAGGGTAAGGGTTTTGGGAACCGGGCCGCACAACTCCACCCAATTTTTCTGGGAGTACCCCCCCCCGGATCTCTGCCAAGTGCAAATTTTCGCGCCAAAAACGCGGCTGCGGGGCAACAAGCGCCAAGTCTCGCACAAGTGTCAAATCAAGTGTGGTTTCATATTGTCTTCAAAACAATTTAAAACCGATGCGATTTTGGTGCTTTTTAGGCGAAATTCAACCCAAGAAAAAGGAATGAGAGCTTTTAAGGTAAGATAATAAGACTTTTAATCCAAAATAATTCATTTTTAAACTATAAACAATCGAGATAGCGTAACCAAATGGGGACATAGTTGCTGGCATGTGTTTGACTCGCTGAAATCATGGCGACCAAACTCCCCCGATTTGAAAATATGGTTTGTGAGATTGCAGATACAACAGCAAATTTACAGCTTTTCATATTTTTTCAAAAATATGTCAATTCAACGTTTGGCCAAAACTGAAGAAAGACGTTAGTTATCTCTTTCGCAAAGGGGGAAATTGTTCAAGAACATCCGCACATTTTCACTGACATTTTGCGTGTAGTTTCAGCTTATTCAGTTAGTCTGTTGTAAAACGGTAATTGAAAGCAATACTAAGTTGTATAAGAGGTTATTATTTTTGGTATTTCTAACATACTTCTAGTTGTATTGAATATTATTCTGTTCCGAGAAAAAAGCACGCCTAGCTAATCTGTAGACCCGAAGACCGTGTCTAAAACTTTTGCAGCAAATGTTTTTAGTCATGTTACTTTTTAAGGTTGGGGCAAACTACATGAAGATAACGTTCGCCTTTCTTTTCAAATAATTCTGTACTTTAGGGGTCTGTTTCGATATAATTACACAAACCTTCCTTCAGTTGTACAAGACGTCATTTCCAAACTTGTGCATAAAGTTTACATGTAAACATTCTCCTATATGGAGGTGTCGGCCTACGGTTCACGTCTACGCTTCAGATAATTAACTCATCCAGCTAGTAAATGATTAGTCTAACTCTCGAAATTAAGAGTTTTGTTAAGTTTTGAAAGTATATCAGCTTTGGCTCGTAGGATTTAAGTTTAATAATCTGTGACCAAACCGACAAAGTACACTCAAGTCGCAAGAAAAGCCATTCAATGCAACACTACAGGCTGCAGGTTTCCCGCGACGGAAATGATTGAAAAATCACTTGGACTGAACAGTTACTACAGCAATGTAC